CTTGGTGGACATCCTTCCAAGGTGCACACAGGAAAGAAATATCTGACGTGCTGAATGCTACCCTGGAGCCACAGTCTATCATTTTGTCTCAGTCCAATCATACTTTATTTGGAACTGAAACCAGGGTTTAATTAATGGTGACATCAGCCAGGTTTCAGAACACCTTCCTGACAACATCTTCAGTTCACTTTTGTGCTGCTGTTGCTCACAGAGGTCCCCACAGTCTTTGGCCCTGCAGTTTGACAATATTACCTGCTGCAGCACCAGCACTGAAGATGCTTTAGGGATGGTCACAGATGACACTGATGTGTTTCCTTCCTGCATACATCATTCCAACACCTTCTTACCAGTCCATCCAAACCAAACATCCATAAAGAAAATAAATAAGCACACATATTGTCTTTCAAGTCCTCCTTCAGTCTTGCTGAGAAATCTTCTAAAGCTCATTTCTCCATAGGTCTTTGCATGCAAAAATCAGGTGTAACTTCAGAACCTATCTTTGCTTTCTAGTGGCCCAACATAATTGGGCCACTAGATTAGGATTTATGCACACCCTCTCAGATGACAGAGGCTACTGTAAGACAGTAAGGCTACTGTAAGAACTGGTCCAGCAGAGTCTTCAGAAGAGGCAGTTCTTCCTTTCTTAGGATTCTACTTAACAAAACTCATCATTACGAGACTTAATTTCATCCCTACGTTATCTTATTCCAGTGATCAGGGAGCTACCAGACTGAGCACAAAGAGCCAGTTCTAAAGCTACCCTGCCATCTCTGGCTCCTTGCAGAAGCAGATCAAACCCTATTAGCCAACATGGTTTAGCACAGTCATCCTTGTCTACAGGTGCCTCAGGACTTTGGTCAGCAGTGATTCACCTGCTCTGAGAGATGGCAACAGCTCTCTGCAGCTGCCTTACCTGCCAGTGTGGCTATTCTGTAGTTTGGATAACACCCCATTTGCCATAATCTCAAACAATTTCTCACCTACACAACTTCAGGCCTTTCAACATACATGGCCATAGTTATTTAGCCACCCTACCTGCCATGGCACAGAGAGTGCCAGGAACATGAGAAAATTCTTTGAATTTCAAACATATATGTTTACTGGGAAGGAATCTGCAGCTGGAGGGAGGAGCTGTGAGAATGCAACACCAATGAAATGTTTGCTGATCGCATATAAAAAGTAACCAGAACAACAGACAAAAGCAGCATTTTGCTTGAAGTGGACAACAGAAACAAGAACTGTATTTGGGAGCATAGATGGAACTCTACTGAACTGGTTTGGGGTTTCCCCCCTCATGGCTGGAGAAGGGAGAAGCAGACAGAGCAGCACTCACAGCCAGCCCCAGTGGTGCCATCTGTGGCATGGCTGCCCACCCCAGGCAGCAGGGCTGGGCTGCAGCCTCCCCACGGGCTGGAGCAGCCCTGGCACTGAGGAGCTCCATCACTTGCAGCCTCAGGAGCAAATTCTCCTCTTGGCTTGACAGCACAGTTGATTTTTTCCTGGCTCCTCCAGTGGGACACATTAAGACCCAAAGCACCGCTTTTAGGCTCTTTCTGCACGATATCCCTTGGAAGTGTGCCTTGCTGCCCCTTTTTGGCATGCCAGCCTGGCCTACCAGCTGTCTGGAGCTGGCACACAAGCATGGGCCAATAGAGGAGTGTTGCAAAGAGTGGCAGGGAGATTTTTCCAGCTCCAGCCTGGCAGGTGCCTGAAGCCCTGCTGTGCCCCGGGCTCCTGTCCCACTGTGGGATGCAGGGGAGCCACAGAGCTCCCATCAGCCGGTGCTGCATCCTCAAGGGAGCCGGCTGCAGGCTGCGGTATGCGGCCAGCAACTGTTGACTTCTTTTTCCGTGCATGGAAGGGTAAGAAACCTTAATTAAAAACATGAAGCCCACAGTTTGTATCACATTCACGATGTTAAACAAGCTCTGGAAATAGAAACACTGTTTTCATTTAAGCTTTCCAACTGTGATCTATGTAATAAAATATGGAGGGGGCGGGCGTGTGTGAGATTTACATGTGATGATTTGGGAGATCTCACTGCTTTAGAGGCTTGTGAGGCGCCGCAGTGCCAACTGCTCCTGCCACTGCCTCACCACGTTTGGTAATGCCTGCCCCACACACGCTTTTGTTTTGTTCCAGAACTGCTTTCCAAATGGTGATTTCTTCCCTCAGCTCTTGCTGCTGTGATTTATTCTGGGTGTGGGTGTGGGATCTGCCAGGCCCTCGGTGACCTGCTGCCCTGGCTGCCCGTCCCTGCCCAGCTCTGGACAGGCAGGCAGGTGAGCAGTGCACATTTCCACCACTCCTGGAGACCACACATGTCCTTGAGGACAGCCACATACACTGCAGGTACAACGATCCTCCAAGCCCATATCCAGGCAGCACCAACATCAGTGGACACAGGGCAGGAATATTTCTGCCTTCCCAGATCCTCCTGAGTCACCACACAGGGAATGAGCATGCATTCCACCACGGTGGACAGGCAGGGGGAAGGCTCTTCCAAGGGCACTTGCTCAGTACCTGCCAGTGCATGGATTGCCCCTTCTCCAGAGCCTGCCTCAGCCTGCAGGGCCCACAGAAACATGCCATGCCCCATCTGCACCTCCCCTCAGGCTCTGGGAACCAGAACCTGCACCTGACCTAGCAGAGAGGATCACCCCTGCTGTGCTAGAGGGGTTTGCAGAGGAGAGTGGGATGACAACAGAGCAAACAATTGTCTGAGACTGTGAACAACTGAGATCACCTTCCCATGGGAGCTTGATTTTGCTCAAACCTGTCACTTTCTGAGACTCCTTTTGCTGTGACATAATGATAGCAATGCTTCCCATGTCATAAACAGTTCATCTGAGCATTGCAATGATCAGAGCTGCATGTTTTGCATGAAGCTCCTAATCAGCATGTTAGCTCAGTCTAGCAGAAGGCATTTGCCCCACACTGCTCCCCTGTGCCTGCTTCTCCCCCAGTGGTTCCTGAATGCTCTGGCCAAGTCATGTCCTGATGCGCAGCATTCCCAGGGCTTTTCCCAAAAGTCTGTGGAAGTGCAAGATGCACAGCCTGCACAGGAGCACTCGTGTGGTTGTTTACATTTTTAGACCTTCTGTTTTCTCAGCAGGGCACTGGCAGCAAGTTGTTCCTGTCTTTTCCTCCCCTTTTGGGGACAGTAAGTTTTCTCATTGGACATTGGGGCGTCTTCAATGCATTGCCCTGCCCCAACCTCTTCCCTGCTTCCCATCAGCAAATGGAGAAATTACAATCGGGTCGGTGAATCCCGACGCCAAGCTGCCCCTCTTCCAGGAACCCTTTCCCCAATGCGTGTGGGTGTGTGACGTCATCGAGGGCGGCCGTGACGTCACGCATCGGTGACGGCGGGGTGCGGGGACGGGGGTGAGCCCCAGCAAGGGCCCCACAGCGGCTGAGCCCCGGGGCCGGGGGTCCTCTGAGCGCCGCATGTTGCCCCCTCCGTCCCCACCGCTGCAGCGCCGAGCCAGCGCAGATCCGCGCTCCCTCCGCGGGGGCCTCTGCAGCCCAGGAAAACGGGAGGGAGCGGCCGGGCTGATGGTAGCGGGCATACGAGGGGTAGCGGTGTGCAGGCTCAGGTACTTTGGGGCCACGCTTGTGGGCACAAGGACAGGGACAGAGAGGTGCCATGGAGAGCGGGAGCCGCGGTCGGTGCCCGCACGGGGGATCCGCGCCGCGCACGTCCCGCCGGGCCCGCAGGCGCAGACGGCTGCTCCCGTTCACCCGCGGCGGTCAAATACCGTCTGAATTACATCCTTGTAAATATTGACTGTGGCCATCTTCTTCGCTCCTGCGCGCAGAAAACCAAAGCGTTGAGCCCGGCGGGGCCGGGCTGCTGCTCCGCAGGGCTGCGGGGGTGCGGGGGTGCGGAGCGGCGGGGCCGGGGAACAGGGGCACACCCGAGGGAGCGGGCCGGGGGCGACCGTAGGCATCGCCGGTAGCTGAGCATCGTGTCTCTGCCGGAGCGCGCCCGGGATGCTAAAGGCAACGGGCTGTCTCCCGGCTTGGGCTGCGGGCTAATTTACAGCCCTTGCGCTTGTAGGAGGGACACACGACTCACAAGAGAAGACGGGGAAGCGTGGTGAGAGATGGCTCCTGGCATAGCATCATTAAACACCGGTGTTAATGAGTGGCACGGGGCTGTGGCTGCGCCTCGCGGCCCCGACGGGGGTCTCTGCTGCGGTCAGCGTGACACCAGCCGGTGTCCTCAGCCGCCCTCCCCGGGAGGCTCCCCCATCCAGGCGGTGCACTGCCGTACCCTCAGATGCCCCTGGCCGGACTCCTCCCGCCCCTCCACGCAGCGCCCCTCGACGCCGCTCTGCCCGGGAGGAGCCGTGCCCTGGCTGGGGCTGCCGGGGTCCCCTGGCCAGCCGTGACTCCCCCCGGCCATGGGGAGCGGCAGTCCCGACAGGGAGAGTGGCTGCGCGGCGGCCGTGCCTCCGGGCGTCGGCTCTGCGCATTTGGTGGTCGTTAAAAACAATTTGTTTCCCTCCCCGTTCGGGGAGGGGGAAGGGGAAAATCATTCCGGGGGAGGGGAAGGGAGGAAAAGGGAAGGGAAAAGGGGGGAAAAAAAGGAGTGAGAGAGAGAGAGCAAGCGAGACAGAAACACCAAAGCCGACAGAAAACCCGCGCTCCGAACTATTGCGACACAGAGCGAAGAGCGCGGCGGAGGCTGGCGGCGAGGTGCGAGTGGGAGCGGGCCGGGCCGTGGGAGCGGGCCGGGCCGAGGAAGCGGACCGGGGTTGGGAGGGGGGCCGTGAGAGCGGGCCGGGCCGTGGGAGGGGCGGGCTGCCTCCCCCCCCGTGGGTGGGCAGGCGGCGCCCGGTGCCTCCGCGCTGCCCCCCCGCCGGTCGCGCCGGGCGGGTCTCGGCGGTTCGGCGCGGCTGCCCGGTGACCGCTGCCGCCTCCCCGCAGCGCACAGCGAGCCCCCGCACCTCCGAGCCGGCGGCCAGCACGACGGCGGCCCCCAGCCCCCCACCATGAACACCATCGTCTTCAGCAAGCTCAGCGGCCAGGTGCTTTTCGAGGAGGACGCCAAGGAGCGGGAGCGGAGCGGCCGGTCCTACGTGGGGGTGGTGGAGGGCCCGCACCACGCCGAGGTGCTGCTCCCCGACAGCCCGTCCATCAAGGAGAGCCTCAGCCTGCGCAACCGGCGGACGGGGTATGCCGTGCGCTCGTCTCCGCGCCGCGCACCGGCTTCGGGGGCGGCCCTGCGCTCCCGGCCGCCGCGTCGCCGATTTGGGGTTGCGAGATGGGTTTCTAACTGGGTCTTTGCCCGCGGCCCCGGGTTCGTGTTTTCTGGGATTCTCATTCCACAGCTACGGTGGGAAATTCCGGCAATAGGTGATGCAGGGGCGTCCGGCTGGGCTGGAATATACCAGACAGAGCGCTCCTGTCCTGCTGTGCTTGACCTCCCCCTCTGCCTCCGAACAGAAACAAACCGGGAACACCGGAGCCCCACCGGCTTGTTCGGGCGCTTCATCTGATTAAAGTCTCCAAAACGGAGGCGCCAGGCGGGACGTGTGAGACCTGGGGGCCGGGGCGGCGGCGCGGCGGATCCCCGCCGGCAGTGCCGTGGTGGCAGCGGGGCTGGGGCGGCGGGCACGGCGCGGCCCCGGCACTTGTTCCGCCGTTCCGCGGGCTCGCAGCGCGCCGAGCGAACGGGCGGGAAGGAGCTGCGCTGTCCGTGCGTTCCTGGGATGGCATTTAGATCGGACTAGCGGGATGCCAGTCGGGGGCTCGATAATGTGATACTAGGATCGGGTTTGCTAAAACGGCAGCTGAGGCTAAGCCGCCCGAAGCCGGTTTTGGGGTGTTTTTTTTTTTGGGTTTTTTTTGGTTTGTTGGTTTTTTGGGGGGTCAGGGGTTTTTTTTATTCATGCTGGAACAGGTGAAATAGAAGGTGATGAGAGGACGTGCGAGCTCTGGCGTGTTGACAGCCGTAGCTCGGAGGGTTGAACTAGCGTGCGCTGACCAGACATTTCGGGTCAGCGTTACAAAGTAAAGATCGAGGAGCGCAGTCAGGCGGCTGCGAAACCGCGGAGTCCGGGGGAGTTGCTTGTGCTGACCAATTTCCACCGTAGCGATTGCATCAGCTCGCAGCTTTACCGGCGCTGCTGGCCCACAGGACGCAGGTGTGTGTTGTGTCACCGAGATGTTGTTGCGGCCGATCCCGGGGCAGCCGCGGGACCCGGCGAGGCGGCGGCGCGGCCCAGCCCGGCCCCGGGGCGCCCCCTGCCGCCGCCAGCGGCACCCAGCGCCGCCCGGAGCCCCCTCCGCCCCGCAGCGCTGCCGCCGGCCCCAGCCCGCCTCCGGGCTTTCCTCAGCATTCTTCCGATGTTGTTCACTCACTTTTTATTGTAGGCTTTTATTTACAGAGGGACTCCTTTTTTTTTTTTTTTTTTAATCGGAGCCCGGGTTTCGTTCCCCCGGCATACGCTGTTACTCGGCAGGCGCGGGGCTTTGCGGGCTGCCTCGCGTCGCTGCCGGCGGCATTGGGAGCGGCATGCCGGCTCCTCCAGGAGCACCGCTCGCCGCCGGTTCCGAGGGGGAAAATGATCCAGGAGCTGCTCAGTGCCGCGGGTAACTTTTGAGCATCAGCGGGAAATAAACCCGGGCGGGGGAATCAGGCTGGGCTGGCCCCGGGGTAACGCGCACCGCAGCTGCGGGATGCGCGGCCGGCCGTGCGAGATGCGGCCTGGCCGCGCTGGAAAGCCCCTCCGTAGACAGACCGGCCACACTCCGGTCGGGTGCCGAGAACCGAAATCATCGGGACACTCGCTCCGGCGGAGCCCTGGCCCCGCTGAAATCCCCGCGGGGCCCGCAGCATCACCGCGGCCATTCACCAGCTCCGAGTCCGCTCGCCCAGACCCTGCACGGGGAGTTCGGGGAGCTGCTGGCATCACCTGCTCTTGAGTGGTCGTCCGAGCCACGGTTGCGGCTGTGGAAATCCTCGAGCACCCCGCGAGGACTGGGCTCGGCTTCTCCGGGCAGGGCGCAGCCCGGGGCTGGGCACATCCCGAGCTGGGTCCCCCCTCGGACGGGGCGCATCTACCGCGCCCGCGCTGGGGAGCCCGGGGCAGGCGGGACAGCAGGCAGGGGCCGGGCACGGGCAGAGGGCAGAGGGCAGGTGTCCCGCCGCTCCGCTCCTCAGCGCCCCTTCTCCGCGGCAGGGCGCGGCAGAGCGGCGGGAAGGTGCGGCACAAGCGGCAGGCGCTGCAGGACATGGCGCGGCCGCTCAAGCAGTGGCTCTACAAGCACCGCGACAACCCATACCCCACCAAGACGGAGAAGATTCTGCTGGCCCTCGGCTCCCAGATGACCCTGGTGCAGGTAAGGAAGGGAACCACTTACCCCGACCTCTAAAAGCCGCTCCGAGGCGTTTCATGGACGGGAGGGATGGGGACAGCATCTGCCAAAGCTCCTCTGAGAGCTGAGCAAAGGACAGTGCTGGGTACTGGGGAGCATCGGTGCAGCCAGCAAGACCAGGGGTCCTGTGCACATCCTTCTTCCACTCTCCCCTGGGCTCCCCACCCCAGCAGGACTGTCTCTCTCAAACAAGAATTGCCACATCTCAGCTATCGTGGCTGGAGAAATGCTAAAGGCAATCAGCAAAAAGTGTGTGCTTGCACTTCTAGGAATAGATGCCCTCATCCTTTCATCTCATTCATAAATATGATGAAAATATTTTTGCTTAGTCTTTAAAAATTCTCAAGTAAAAATATCAGTCATGGGAGAGTTCAGCACAGAATAGAAATTGTTGAGGAAATTTCAGGGAGCTACTCTTCCCTTTTGAAAAGGGGGTAGGATGGAAACTGTTATATTGTTCTGATAATAATTGTCATCACCTGTTGCACAGACACCAGTGTTATGATACACACTGTGTGCACTGGCTCAGCACACACAGTCTTGCAGGAATAATCATTGTAATATAGTTAGACATGGGGAGTAATTGTTTTGCTCTCAGGTAATTCTCCCCTGAAGTGCCTGGCAGTTTTGCTGTAAGAGGCATAAATTTTGCTGCAAATGTTTATAAATCTCACTTCTTTGTTCTCTTTGCCATCTGGTACTCTACTGATATATGTGGTTAAATGCTATCAGTTGCCAAGCGATGCTATCTCAGGTCTGGATGCTGCAAAGATTTATGCATTGTGAATAATCTAATTTCCTTACTGCAAGCTACTGCTAGGTGTGTAAAATGAAACCCATGTGTTTGCAGGATTGGGTCCTCATCACTCTGCCTAACACATTATGTGTCACTTTGCAAAGAGCACAAAGAGATCAAAGTAACCTAAAGTATTAGAAAAAAACAGGTGGTAATTCAGCTTTATTATTTTGAGTGCCCCCTCAAAAAAACCTGTACTATGAACTTCAGTTCTAGTAATGGCAAAATGGGAAATTTTTACACTTCAGTACCTCACTATGAAACTATTGCACTAGGAAAAACACTATAGCTTTGACAAAAATAATATTAATGTCTCAGAAAATGCCAGTTATAACCGGAAGATACAGTTAAAACAACTTGTCTTGCTTTTAAAAAATATACATGAAAGGTTTAAACTATGATTACATAAACACTATCCCTTCAATGGCACAATTCAATAGGAGTATTTTATTGGACTATGGCTCTTAGAATATCCCTGTAATTTTACAAGAGATTTAAAACATATATCCAGAATATGTATTGGGACACTTTCACATTAATGACATCTTGAGGAGTTCTGCTGTTCTTTTAAAAATGCCTCGGAGTGAACAGCGAAGGGAGAAGAACTGGTGGGGTTTTGCAGGATTTCTCTCTGGCAGCTTTGATAAATCCTGATGGGGACAAGAAGTGTTAGCCTTTATAAAGGCATCAAGTGAGCCATGGCTTCTTCTCCACAGAGTTTTATGATCTACATAAAGTGTAGAATAAAATTAAAAAGAATCAGGGAGGGCTGCTTTTAGCTCTGTTAGACCCCTATGACTAGTGGATTTACGCTGAAGCTGAATTTGACCTGTTTTGTTCTATGAACTGTAATATTTGAAAGAACTGTGCAAACAGGCATATCTATCTTCATTTACAGAAGCACAACATCAAAGAGAAATCCCAGGTGTTTTTTTCATCTTTTTTGTGCAATGCTCTTTTAATCCAGGAATTCGATAGCATCTGTATGAGATGTAAATACATATGTCTGGCACTAGCAGTAATTCCTGAGCCACAAAGAGCTAAACAACACGCACCCTACACCCTACTTTTTGGATGCTCAAAAAGAACAAGATTGTAATTCAGTACAAAATTTTTGTTCTCTAGGAGTGAGAGAGAGCATGGCAGGGTGTGGTCCCAGTCGCACTGGGTACATCTGAAATAGCTTTCCTGAAGGCTGTGCTCTTTCAGATGAGCGGTGTAACCAAGAGCAGGCTTGGGACTGGGCTGTGGATCTGTTGGAAAGCTTTGCATCTGTCCCAGGAGGGGCACTTTGCAAAAGCATCAACCAGGGTTGTCTATAAATTGTTTTTCTAATCTAGTAATATTGTTGGCCATCATTGGAGAACCAGGAAGCAGTGTAGGATGTTTCCTCTGGGTTAAACACCTTCCCATTTGCTGACCTGTCTCATATTTCCTACACTTTTTACATTTCTCAGTGTTGTCCCGTGGTGTCTGCTCCCACAGTTTTCCCCTCCTGTGGAGGCTGTTGTCTGCTGACAGCTGCTGCCTCTCCCCAGCATCCCTCATGTGCTGACACCTTGTCGTCACAAGCCATAGGAAAGGCAAAAGATACTGTTGGATATCCCTTTGATTTTCTGAGTTTCTGACAAAATCCCATTAAGAAAATGAATGGTTGGGGTGTTTTTTTGTTTTTCACCTGACTGACGACCTTGGAAAAGGTCTTCTGAGACTGCCTGGAAGATGATGGTGGTCACAGTAATTTTGATCATCCAGATGTAATACTCTCCTCCCTGAGCTTTGATCATACTCTCTTCCCTGTGCTTTTCTTTCATCTAATGAATCTTATTCCAGTATGTATCATCTATCCAAAGGAGCATTTTTTTAGAACCATGGCATAGATAAAACCAATTCTTCTGTGAGACAAAGAGGTGAACATCCATCCCTGTTTTTTAACTTTTGTTATTAGGACAAACTAATGACATGCTAATGACTAATAACTTTTGTATCTGCATGTCAAATTTTCCACAGCTTTATTTTCATTAGTTTTTCTATCACTCAGTTGACTGATTTTAAATTAATTTGTTCTACTTTACTAATACTTTGGCCTACCCCACTGTTCTTGGGTGCAGTGGGACAGCGAGGGGACTGTTGCAGATGCATGTCCGATGCAGTGCTGAAGAAATGTCAGACTCTTTCAAGGAGGTAGGATTTTGCAGGGATCATAAATCATCTTGTCTCTGAAGTAGTAGTAGCAAAACCTGGGGCAAATTCTGGGCTGACTTACTCCTGTGCAGGCCAACAAGGTCTTTGGGAGTCCTCAAGGCAAATGTTATTGCAGATTTCAGTCCAGCAGTCCAAAGTTTTCTACTTCCACAACTGCCAAAGCAGGAAACCAAAAAAGCAATATAGTTTGAAAAGGCATTTTATATTTTACTCCAATTAGATTCCAATTCAGAATCCAATAACTTGTCCTATTAATATGCTACATTTTCATTTGTATTATTACCATAGTGTTTGATTTATTTTATTTTAAATTTTGGTTTAGATGTTCTTGTGAAATAAAAAAGAAAAATGGCAGTATATTCCTTCCAGAAAGAAATATGAATGTGTGTATTGTTGGAAAGAAGGTTTTTCAACACAAAGATTTGTATATCAGTCATGTGCGGCTATGGATTTAATAATGTTCAGATTTATAAAGGCGTATCTGGATTACTGGAGGAGGTGAATCACTTGATGTCTGTTCTCTTTCTGAAAGTTTGGCTGCTGTTAAGCACTGAAGCAGAACAAATTACAATAAAATTGAAGATGTGTCTTCAGAAGTAAAGCCAGAGGGTCAATATTTCATGATGCTGATATAAGTACCTGATGCTCTTAGAGAACAACTGAACTGCTGTAAAAAAATGAATGCTGGAAAGCACATCTATTATCGTTCCCCTTGGGTTTTGTCTTTTTACTTCTCAAAGAACTACAGGATTGTTACTTTACAAGAATAGTGAGTTTCATCATGTGTTTTTTCAAGATACTTCTTGGGAGGTTTATGTGACAAAGACTTTCCCACTGGCTTTTATCTAAATAATTTTTTTTGTTGTTTTTTTGAAATCATTTTTGGAGATCACAGTAGCGCAGTTTGGGACCATGGGAAAGGTTGGATGGTTTTGGCAGCTTTGGTCATTTCTTTTTGCAATGGTTTAGGTAAGCGTATTGCAAACTGGCACTCTTTGTGAGTGGGACCTACAGCAGTGGACACGCAGGTTTTTAAAGACCACATGGATAGACAATGTAACATTTGGAGCTGGTTGAAATGAGTGGTAAAACTGCTGTCTTGGAAGAAGACAGGTGGAGGTCAGGGTGAGCGTGCTGACTGGTCCAGCCTGTAGCCGTGCAGCCTGTTCCAGTCCACACACCTGCAGGGTGTCCAAGACTGAAGGGTGACAGAGGTGTTGACTCTCATGATGTCTTAGAAATCAGGATTTTCCAGCAACATGCACCAGTGCCCAAAAGTTGGAAAGCAGCTAGAGATTACCACATCATAGATTAAGCCTAAAAATCTCTTAAATGGATTTGACTAACTTTCCTTTCTTCCAAGTCTTTAATGAACCTTGTTGTAATTGCATTTGGGATAAGAGTTCCTAGAGTGAGTTTGCTACTTCTTGCTTTAGTTAAAGGTTTCTCTTCTAAAAGCTGACTTGAGGTTCTTTCAGAATGATAGAGTCATTTAGTTTGGAAAAGACCTTTATAATCATTGAGTCCAACCATTAACCCAGCACTGGCAAGTCCACTGCTAAACCATGTCCCTGAGCACCCTGTCTACATTTCTTTTAAATACCTCCAGGGACAGCGACTCAACCATGGTAACTTTCACTGGGCAGCCTGTTCCAATGCCTGGCAATCCTTTCTGTAAAGAATTTTTTCCTGATATCCAATCTAAACCTCCCCTGATTCAATGCATTTCCTCTTGTCCTATCACTTGTCACTTGGGAGAACAGACTGACCCCCCACCTACAACCTCCTTTCAGGTAGTTGAAAAGGGCAATAAGATCTTCCCTGAGCCTCCTTTTCTCTAGGTTAAACCTCCCCAGATCCCTCAGCTGTTCCTCATCAGACTTGTGCTCCAGACCTTTCCCCAGCTCTATTGTCCTTCCCTGGATTCTACCCATCATCCCAGTGTCCTTCCTGAATCGAGGGGCCCAGAACTAGACCCAGCACTCAAGTTGCAGCCTCACCAGTGCTAAGCACAAGGGTACAATCACTGCCCTGGTCCTGCTGGCCACATGTTGTGGTCCAGTTCTTAAAATTGTTAGAAATGCCTCTGCCTGAATTAAGATGCAAACCAGATCATATGCCAAAGGATTGCAATCTCTGACACCACACTATTGCTGATCCAGGCCAGGATACCATTGGCTTTCTTGGCCACCTGGACACTCACTGGCTCACATTCAGCTGATGACAACCAGCACCCTCAGATCCTTTTCCAGCAAGCATCTTGCCATCCAATTCCCCCAGCCTGTGGCACTGCAGGGGTTGTTGTGACCCGGGGCAGGCACTTGGCCTTGTTCAACCTTATGCCTCTGGCCTTGGCCCATGGATCCAGCCTGTCCAGATCCCTTGTGGAGCTTTCCTGCTCTCCAGCAGACCCACACTCCCACCCAGTTTGGTTTCTCTGAAAACTTAGTGAGGGTGCCCTCCATCCCCTCATCCAGATTAATGATAAAGCTATTAAACATAACTGGCTCCCAGTACCAAGCCCTGGGGAACACCACTGGTGACCAGTGAACAGGTGGATGTAGCTCCATTCACCAACATTCTTTTTTACCCTGCAAAGAGCACACCCATCCAAGCCATGGACAGCCAGTTTCTCCAGGAGATGCTGTGGGAAATGTTGTCAAATGTTTTATTGATGTCCAGGTAGACACATCCACAGGCTTTCCCTCGTCTACTAAGTGGTCACCCTGTCATAGATGAAGATCAGGTTGGTCAAGCACAACCTGCCTTTCACAAAGCTGTGCTGGCTGGTCCTGATCCCCTGATTATCTTGTATGTGGTGTGTGATGGCACTTAAAATCATCTGCTCCATAAAGAGCAGGAGGACAAGGTGCAATATATTTATCTCATTATGAAATAATGATCAAATACTACTATTCCCTTCTCTCATAGCAGAAGACTTAAAATATGACTCATCTTTTCATATTGATATGCAGAAAGCAAAGCAGTGGCATGGGAAGAATGAGCCCAAAATAAACCAAGAGTACCATGCAGAAATCACTCTTGCTAAATTTAATTGCTTTTATGTATGAATCACACTAATACTACCCTATCTTTTCTGTAAATGGCACTTCACTGATGAAAAATTTCAATATGTAATAGAATGAAGCATAATGAAATCTTTATTGTGAGAGGTTGGAAAGCTGTCAGTTTGGTAAAATGCTACAGTAACTGCAATCCTGTTGATTGGGACACTGGATTGATCCATCTCTACTGTTAAATACTTGATTTCAGAATTACACTGTCATGCAGCAGGTGACTGCTGCTTCACCTGAGCAGTCTGGTGTGACTTTGCTAACAGCATTAGAAAAGTGCATGGATTCCAGCCCACCCTATCTCATTTACTGTAAAAATTACTGTGTAAATACGAAGATTACAAGCAAGTAGCCTCAGAAGAGAATTAGAATTACTTTGCCAGCTACAGTTTTGGTTTTCTAACCTGTCATAGTAAACTACATGGCTTGTAAAGTTACATGTTTGCCATCTGAGCACTGATCCAGTGCTAACTGTATTTTCAGTGGAACCCTGTTTCATGTAAACGCGATTTTAAGGCAAATCAAAGTGACAGGCGTAAGGCACCACTGCTAAGTTCTAGCTGGGATTCTGAACTAAAGCTTTGCTTTTTCTTTAGGCACATAGTGTTTATCTTTCTCATAATCACTTTAGAAGAGATTATTGATCCAGAATAATTAGACAGATACTTCTGTGTGATTTATACAGTAACCTTAGCTACAACAGACAGATGACAAAACTAGGGACAAAATCCAGCACTAGAGTCTACAGTTTGGCTCTCTGTTAGGTGGGGTAGCATGTATTGATAAAGCATGTATGAACTTGCTTTGCAGGTTGATGTAAATTAAATGGTGTGATCGTTCCCAGGTCAGAACATGATGACAGTAGTCTGGCTTTCTCTTTGTGCGTGTTCACAACACAAAGATGTGAACAGGGCTGTAGGCTGATAACATTCTTTGCATTCTCCTTTGCAAGTGATGCTACTCTGCCTCCTTCTTGCAGAGGTCATGTCAAAATGCACTTATTCCTGCCAGGGTTAAATAGGACTTTGAACACCTTTTTTATCATTAAGCAAGTGTCATTAGAATGTAGGTCACTTGCCTCTGCTCTTGCTCATAGTAGAGTTATCAGTATTTTCTATTTTCTATATTTTTGGGTTGCAGTAGAATCAAGGCCAGTATTTTCTCAGGTGTGCTTTCATGCAAAGTCACTGCAAGTACATGCATCACATTTGGTGGTTTAATTAGCACTGCTGGCACTGAAGGGTAGACTGTGCCTTTTTGCTCATTCAGTGCCTAAAACACTGTGAAATACTTGTGATTGAGCCTGACTTTGTAATGAGCCTGTATGCTAGAGGGATACCAACATGAATCCATTTTTCTAAGTCAATCTCTAGAAAATGCTTTGAAGTTGGGAAGGAAGACAAAGCAGACTATTGTTTAGTAGTCACCTTGTGAGGAATTGCATCTTTACTATATTTTAAACTGTTCACAACAAAAAGAGTTTGTAAAATCAGTTCTCTGTAGAGCAAATGGTGGATTTCTGCAGTGAGTCAAAGTACATTGTACTCTGTGTAAGACTTTCCTGATGCCCACAGCTTGTCAGACTAAGAGTTCTGTAAAAGTGAAGGGAGAATTTGGGGCTTTTATATACACAAATTTAGAATGTATTTTCTGTTCAACAGCTTTATTGTAGCCTATATAAATATCTAAGGAAATTCCTGAATATTAGATATTAGTTTAATTTAGGAAGTTGGTAATATGTTAAAGGTTCATGTTAAAAGTTCAGGGTTTTATCTTTAAAATTAAAAAAAAAAAAAGATTAATATAAAACTGGTATTTGGGACACCTTAATTGAAACCTTGTGATAATGTGGTTTTGCTAACACTTGGGAAGGGTGGGAAGCCTGAAATTGCCTTCCTGTATGAGATTCCTGATCTGCTCACTGGTAATTTCGTGGACTGCTGTTCATATTTCTCTTGTTTGTGGTCCCCTTGAAGCATACATAAAACTCTTGAGGGCTCTGTGGGTTGGTTGACTTGCCTAATTTTCAAGGGAAGGTAATAGACACGTTTGTGTGCAGGTATCAAACTGGTTTGCCAATGCAAGACGTCGCCTGAAGAACACTGTCAGGCAGCCAGACCTGAGCTGGGCTTTGCGAATAAAACTGTACAACAAATATGTTCAGGGAAACGCTGAGAGACTCAGCGTCAGCAGCGATGACTCGTGCTCTGAAGGTTTGTTGATGCTCTTTTATCAATTTTAAACTGGTTAAAATATATTTAGAAAGTACCAGGTACCCTAAGTTAGCTCTAATTTTTAATCACAAATCTCCCCAGTGGACCTGCCTGTATTGTTTTTGTGAATTAAATGCCTCTTTTGGCTCCCAGCTACTGTGCAGCCTACAAAGCAGAATTGTGTAAGTTGATCAAGGTGGCAATGTGGCTGTTTGTTATTATATTTCATTATTGCTAGAAAGATAATTGTTTGTTCATTACATTCTATAAGCCTATTCCTTTAGTCTGCATTAAAGGAAAAAAATTGATTACATTTGTTGGTATAAAGAAATGAGAAATCACTTGGCTGTTACTTTCCTTAGTGGAAGGGCTATAGCAATATACATCATTAAAGGGTTGATTAGTGGGGCATCTTAGATGGTAAACTAAATATTATTGTTATTTATTTGACGTATTTTGCTAGCAGCTGTTTTCCATAAAGGATGTACTGGAATTCTCTTTCTTACTCAAATTAACAAAAGCAGGATTTTTTTTTTAAGTACCCTGTATTTTTAATAGAATTCTTGTATTAATTCTGTCTGTGAGTGCTTTTTTTAGACAGTTGTGACATGGAGATACAATGACAGGAACAAATCCTACAGAACATTGTCAAAAATCTGTATGTGAATTTTTAGAAGAGTATGTCTCAATCTGTACTCAATTTTAAATATCTTTGTTCCAATTTCAGTCTGTACTCACATTTCTTGAAAAATGTGGGAATGTACTCACATTTCTACTCACTTCCCTTGAAAAGATTGCTTGCAGAAAAATTAAAAGAGTACAGTTTAAGCAAATGTACCTAAATATTCTGCAGTGTTGAGGCAAACCAAATTAGAAGTTATGATAGTAATAATTCAGCCTATTCACACAGCTTTTTAAATGCTTATCATTGAGTTAGGGCACTTTCCAATTTTTTTCTACCTGTCTTGTGTTACTCATGAACAAATTAGACTCAAAGACTTTTCTATAGCTAATTAATTTAGAATACCTGGAACATCTGAGAATCATGGGAACTACTATGAGCAATGTGTGAACAGAAGAAAATGAAAATCAGCGTCTAATGCTGAAGTTACTGTCTAGTTTCCCTTATATTTATTACAATATAACAAAACATGGAGAGAAAGCCTCGTGTTAAATATTAAGTACTCAATGTATTACTATATCTTTGTTCTTTTGTTTTCAGATGGAGAAAATCCTCCGAGAAACCATATGAATGAAGGGGGATATAACAAACCAGTTCACCACACTGTGATTAAAACTGAAAGTTCAGTAATAAAAACAGGAGTGAGACCAGAAGCAAGTGCCAATGAGGATTACGTGTCACCCCCCAAATACAAAAGCAGCTTACTGAATCGTTACCTAAATGACTCATTGAGACATGTCATGGCTACTAATGCAGCTATGATGGAAAAAACAAGGCAAAGGAATCATTCTGGTTCATTTAGTTCCAATGAATTTGAGGAAGAGCTGGTGTCTCCATCATCATCAGAGACAGAAGGCAATTTTGTCTATCGGACAGGTAAGGGATATTTTTCTGCATGATTTCTATTACAGACATCTTCTGTAGACATTGGCTCCAGGATTAAGTGTAATCTGATTGTGCCTTTTATGAGACTTCTGTCCATCCTCTCATATCACAGTGGATAATTCCTGTCCATCTTCTTGCATGAGAGTGGATTACTCCTGTCCATCCTCTCATATCAGAATGGATAAATCCTGTCCACCCTTTCATTCTCTGGAGAAGTTCTACCTGCAGTATTACAGTTAAGTGCAGTTATTGACTGCTAATGAAGCTGGTTTGCTTTTCAAATGGTGCTATGGGAATAATTTTTGAAATTACGCTTATAGGCCACTTTTTGTCAACACAAAGATAAGCCTAAGGAAGGAGAAAACTCTTGCATATTCTATTACAATAAGGGAGGACTGGAGGACTGAAGTTCTCCAGGGCCACAGCTGGAGGAGGAAGAGGGCTTTGAAATTTCAAGGTGGCTGTTTGTGACACTTACATGAGTCATATGTCCTTCAGTGGAGTGCATGTGAACACCTTCTCCTGTTGTACAGCACCTTTCTGTCCTCAGAGTGCCTTGTCCAGTATGTGACCCTTTGGTGCTCATGCTTCTCTTAGGAATACAGGCATTAGTGAAGACTCATTTCTGCATCACTCTCCAGAGCTAAGCGGTGACAGACTTGGCCATTAAATTCTTTGTCTTCCTGTTTTTTGAAGGGTTACACATAGTTTATTATTTTAATTTTATCAATAAAAACATACAAGTGTGATGTAATGTCATCCACTGTGTTACCAGTCAGAGCAAGGCACATGGGACTACCTGGTTCATGCCAATAAATTGCTGTAAATCAGGGCTTGCTTAAATTCCCATGAGTCAGGGGGTGCTGGAAGGCTCCTCTTGTGAAACTTCTGTATTTCTTTGGGACATAAGGTAAAAAAAACCAATTAATTTTGAAAAATATGAAGTTTTGCACCCCAGTCTCTGAAGGTCTCCACCAGTGTCTCAGGATTTTGACTCATTGCAACAGCCCCTTGTATTGTCCTGGGCCTTTCTTGGCAGGTTATTCTGCCAGGGACCACCCTGAGGGGAGCATCACTTTAGGGATGGATATTGCTGAAAAGTACTTGAGGATTTTGCAGTAAAGTTAATACAGATTTAGATTTTTCACTTGGTTCCCCTTGGCTTCCTTGGCAGTCAGGTTCAGGTGCCTTTGCAACTTCTCCGGTTTGCAGCCTTTGCTCTCTCTTTTCTGGCACATTTCCTGGGGGGTTTTTTGTCCATGTGGAGGGGCGACATGGCTGAGTTCTGTTGGTGGGGATTAGGAGGATGTTTGTGTGTGCAGGTTGTTGGGAATGACCAGAGAACAAGAGGGGACCCTGTAGAGACATGGGGTCTCGTGGAGAGAAAGAGTAGTGCATGCTCAATTAATAAGTTTCAAAATAAACTCTCTCTGCTTATGTTTTTTTTTTCTTTTTTCTGAACATACCAAATGCATTTGGTCTGCATTATAAGTATATTGTCTGCCAAGCTTTATTTTTAAGTGAAAAGTTACTCAAGAGCAGATGCAGAAGCTCAAATATGTAAACTTCTGTTTTTCTGTACTTTATACCATAAGCTAAAAATGGATGCAATGACTTTCTAAAATTTATAATAAATTTGCTACTGGATTAAGTTCTTCTTGACAAATTTCAAGCTGCACTGAAAAATATGGTCATTAATGTGAAGACTGAATGCAGCCCACTGTAACTGTGTAAATTCACCAGCTGTGCTGGAATGACTAAAAACTAGTATGCTTGTCCTTAAAGTTCCTAAGTGACATTGCTGGAACTCCTCTTGAGATTGTATTTTATGCAGTTCCTAAATATCTTCTTTAACATTTTCACATTTTTTGAGAACAGACAAGCAGCTCTTAGGATACAGCAGACAAGCAGCTCTTTGCACTTTGAAAGCAGACAAGCAGTATATAGAAAGAAAAAAAGATTTTATATATATATACACACATGATATACATATGATATATATATATACATGACTTTTTTACTGTATTGTTGCTATATATGTGTGAACACTCGGGATATACAGGTACAAATGGGCTTTTTTCAGTTACAAGATTATGGTCCCATTAATGATTTTCTGATGTTACACATGCAGGAATTAAACATTTCATTAAGAAAGCATATTTTCAATATGCTTTCAAGGTATTTTTTCAAGGTATATTTTCAAGGTATTTTCCATTTATGAAAATTACCTTCAAATCGATGAAATTATCCACGATTGTTAGGTAGGGAGAGATAGATGAGGATTATATATCTTTAAAATGTTTTTTCTTTGTTATTGAATACCTGGGTTGGCAATTCTCAGGACAGTACCAGACCTGTATCTGTGTTTTCATTAAAATAGCTGTAATACATTTTGGTTAAGAAAATAACAGGGTATGGCTGACTTTACCACTCTTACCCTCCTGAAAGTGGCAAGTGCCTTTTTAAGTGAGATATCACCACTTACAAGAAGTTCCACACTGCAATTTTTTGTAGAGCAAAACAGCTAATTCTTAACACAAAGGAGCTGTTGCAGGATTGTCAAGTCCCTACTAGACATTTTAATTTATGAAGACATTTTAATCAGCATTTCAAAAAGCACAGAGTGAAAACTGATTGATGTTTTATTTTTGAGAAATGTTTGGCAAGGTCGTTGTGCCTGTAAGGACGGGAAGGCGCTGGAGTTTAAACTAATTCTCTATTGTGCTTTCCTGGAAAGGTAACTTTTTGTAGCAGATCATGAGTAAGAAATCATCCTCGCCCTGTCTGGTTCTGATTAGGGGCTGGACCGTGATTTCAGGTACATCAGTGTGTCTGGAGCTGTTGTTTTGTGTGCCCAGCGCTGGGGTCAGCGTGGCCACGAGTGTCCCAGCAGCCTGCGCCAAATTAACGGCGTATGCGTGCAGCGTCCAATAACAAAAACAAGAAATTGCAGTTTAAAGTTTATAAGGAAAACGGGTTGTAGAGGTTCCCATTTCAGTCATTAACATGCTTATAAACACGGGACCATATGCTACTTCGGCTTCATGCAACTGGGAAATCCCACATAAAGATCAAGGACAGGCTGTGTAACTGACTGTCGGCAGAGCAGCCGCTTTTATACCTCCGTGCAGTTTCCGTGAGCTCATGGGCAGCAGTTTCGGTGCTGGGGCAGGAGCAGCAAGCCCCGAGCCCGGAGCCCTGGCAGGTGCTGTGCCTGCTCTGCCCTGCCCCATGCCCGGAGCCCTGGCAGGTGCTGTGCCCGCGCTGCCCTGCCCCATGCCCAGAGCCCTGGCAGGTGCTGTGCCCACACTGCCCTGCCCCATGCTTGGAGCCCTGGCAGGTGCTGTGCCCGCGCTGCCCTGCCCCATGCCCAGAGCCCTGGCAGGTGCTGTGCCCGTGCTGCCCTGCCCCATGCCCAGAGCCCTGGCAGGTGCTGTGCCTACAGTGCCCTGCCCCATGCCCGGAGCCCTGGCAGGTGCTGTGCCCACAGTGCCCTGCCCCATGCCCAGAGCCCTGGCAGGTGCTGTGCCTACAGTGCCTTGCCCCATGCCCAGAGCCCTGGCAGGTGCTGTGCCCACAGTGCCCTGCCCCATGCCCAGAGCCCTGGCAGGTGCTGTGCCCACAGTGCCCTGCCCCATGCCCAGAGCCCTGGCAGGTGCTGTGCCCGCGCTGCCCTGCCCCATGCCCAGAGCCCTGGCAGGTGCTGTGCCCACAGTGCCCTGCCCCATGCCCGGAGCCCTGGCAGGTGCTGTGCCTGCTCTGCCCTGCCCCATGCCCAGAGCCCTGGCAGGTGCTGTGCCTGCTCTGCCCTGCCCCATGCCCAGAGCCCTGGCAGGTGCTGTGCCCACAGTGCCCTGCCCCATGCCCAGAGCCCTGGCAGGTGCTGTGCCCACAGTGCCCTGCCCCATGCCCGGAGCCCTGGCAGGTGCTGTGCCCGCGCTGCCTTGCCCCATGCCCAGAGCCCTGGCAGGTGCTGTGCCCGCGCTGCCCTGCCCCATGCCCAGAGCCCTGGCAGGTGCTGTGCCCACAGTGCCCTGCCCCATGCCTGGAGCCCTGGCAGGGGCAGTGCCCACAGTGCCCTGCCCCATGCCCGTGGAGCTGGAGCTGCTGCGGGAGGCGGTGCGGGCGGACAGTGCCGGCAGCCTGGGGAAGAGCGGCTGTCACGGGTACGGCACAGCCTTCCCTAAGCCTGTCTGTTGTAAGCTGATATTCTTATGTATATAACAGGACATGCACAAGTGTGTTCAGTTAAAGCAGAAAATTTCAGTTCAGATCAATCCTGGTGCAGGTATAATATATAAGTATAGATAATTGGTCAAATATGCATCTTAAGCTGATGACTGAAAGGCTCGGTTCAGTGTTTTTGTTTAGTTAAAAAGCCGTGTTGGAGAACTGGTTTTCACTAACTGCTTGGCATGCAGTCACTCACAGCGGGTTCTCTGTGTGACAGGAATAAGTGAAAGCAGACTTGTCTACCCGCATTTGTTGTACAAATGCATGCAGAAATAACAGTCTTGACTGCAACAAGCACTCCAGAAATCTACAAGGAAAAGATCGAATGTTTGTAGTGAAGCTGAATATTAAGCTAAAGAGGCAATGTCAGTCTTTGGTTTATGGATCACTAAAATGCTGACTTTTCTGCAATCAAGCTGCAGTGCTCCCTGAGTGCCCTATTGTCAGTCACCTGCAGAAACAAAATGTTCTGCATCGTTGTAGCACAAGGAAATGAAAATTCCCAGCTTTCTGGGATATTGTTGTCTAGTGAAGGAAAGAAAAAATTAAAACATGAGGAAAAGAGACGAAATGGCAGGAGAGGGAGTCCTTTTTCTGTAGGCAGATTTTTCATTGATTTCACTTTATATGTTACTTAGCACAGTAGAAAAGCCAGAACAAATAAAAACAATGAGGAAGCTCAAGACTTGCAGGGCTGGAAAAGAGGGTGGTTTTAAACAAGTGCTTGAATGACTGGCTGATTTTTGAAGATGTTTGAT